GCAGCAGGACAGGCGGAAGCCGCTAGAAGCCGCAAAAAAGAGGCGAAGGAGCACCCGAACGGCGCGGGTAAAAGTTAGCACTTGTTGGTCTCGATCCAACGACCTTTGGGTTATGAGCCCAACACGCTTCCTCTGCGCCAAAGTGCTAGCTCAATTTCACACATCCCCAACGACACACAAAAACGCGCCCCAGCAAACCACACACAAACCAACGCAAACGCCCGCGCGCGAGCTCTCCAGACCGACAATTGATGCCCCCAACGAGCTTATCGTTCACGAGATATCTCCCACCAAACCTAGGTACACGTACCCGCGGCACAACAAACTGCCACTGCGCACAGGCGCCTCGCCGCCGCGCGACCAAACCAGGGCCCATCACACACCGCCAGGCGCGACAGCGCGTCGTGGACACGCCCCTACTGTTGCCTGGTGCCGCGCCGCCGGGTTTACCAACCCACCGCTTGAACCGTGGCGGGACTCGATCCCGCCGTCGTTGTGCGGCCTGCCAGGCACGAGGGGCGAAGGCGGGGTCAGTGCAGGCAGCGTGGAGGGGCAGCAGGACAGGCGGAAGCCGCTAGAAGCCGCAAAAAAGAGGCGAAGGAGCACCCGAACGGCGCGGGTAAAAGTTAGCACTTGTTGGTCTCGATCCAACGACCTTTGGGTTATGAGCCCAACACGCTTCCTCTGCGCCAAAGTGCTAGCTCAATTTCACACATCCCCAACGACACACAAAAACGCGCCCCAGCAAACCACACACAAACCAACGCAAACGCCCGCGCGCGAGCTCTCCAGACCGACAATTGATGCCCCCAACGAGCTTATCGTTCACGAGATATCTCCCACCAAACCTAGGTACACGTACCCGCGGCACAACAAACTGCCACTGCGCACAGGCGCCTCGCCGCCGCGCGACCAAACCAGGGCCCATCACACACCGCCAGGCGCGACAGCGCGTCGTGGACACGCCCCTACTGTTGCCTGGTGCCGCGCCGCCGGGTTTACCAACCCACCGCTTGAACCGTGGCGGGACTCGATCCCGCCGTCGTTGTGCGGCCTGCCAGGCACGAGGGGCGAAGGCGGGGTCAGTGCAGGAAGCGTGGAGGGGCAGCAGGACAGGCGGAAGCCGCTAGAAGCCGCAAAAAAGAGGCGAAGGAGCACCCGAACGGCGCGGGTAAAAGTTAGCACTTGTTGGTCTCGATCCAACGACCTTTGGGTTATGAGCCCAACACGCTTCCTCTGCGCCAAAGTGCTAGCTCAATTTCACACATCCCCAACGACACACAAAAACGCACCCCAGCAAACCACACACAAACCAACGCAAACGCCCGCGCGCGAGCTCTCCAGACCGACAATTGATGCCCCCAACGAGCTTATCGTTCACGAGATATCTCCCACCAAACCTAGGTACACGTACCCGCGGCACAACAAACTGCCACTGCGCACAGGCGCCTCGCCGCCGCGCGACCAAACCAGGGCCCATCACACACCGCCAGGCGCGACAGCGCGTCGTGGACACGCCCCTACTGTTGCCTGGTGCCGCGCCGCCGGGTTTACCAACCCACCGCTTGAACCGTGGCGGGACTCGATCCCGCCGTCGTTGTGCGGCCTGCCAGGCACGAGGGGCGAAGGCGGGGTCAGTGCAGGCAGCGTGGAGGGGCAGCAGGACAGGCGGAAGCTGCTAGAAGCCGCAAAAAAGAGGCGAAGGAGCACCCGAACGGCGCGGGTAAAAGTTAGCACTTGTTGGTCTCGATCCAACGACCTTTGGGTTATGAGCCCAACACGCTTCCTCTGCGCCAAAGTGCTAGCTCAATTTCACACATCCCCAACGACACACAAAAACGCGCCCCAGCAAACCACACACAAACCAACGCAAACGCCCGCGCGCGAGCTCTCCAGACCGACAATTGATGCCCCCAACGAGCTTATCGTTCACGAGATATCTCCCACCAAACCTAGGTACACGTACCCGCGGCACAACAAACTGCCACTGCGCACAGGCGCCTCGCCGCCGCGCGACCAAACCAGGGCCCATCACACACCGCCAGGCGCGACAGCGCGTCGTGGACACGCCCCTACTGTTGCCTGGTGCCGCGCCGCCGGGTTTACCAACCCACCGCTTGAACCGTGGCGGGACTCGATCCCGCCGTCGTTGTGCGGCCTGCCAGGCACGAGGGGCGAAGGCGGGGTCAGTGCAGGCAGCGTGGAGGGGCAGCAGGACAGGCGGAAGCCGCTAGAAGCCGCAAAAAAGAGGCGAAGGAGCACCCGAACGGCGCGGGTAAAAGTTAGCACTTGTTGGTCTCGATCCAACGACCTTTGGGTTATGAGCCCAACACGCTTCCTCTGCGCCAAAGTGCTAGCTCAATTTCACACATCCCCAACGACACACAAAAACGCGCCCCAGCAAACCACACACAAACCAACGCAAACGCCCGCGCGCGAGCTCTCCAGACCGACAATTGATGCCCCCAACGAGCTTATCGTTCACGAGATATCTCCCACCAAACCTAGGTACACGTACCCGCGGCACAACAAACTGCCACTGCGCACAGGCGCCTCGCCGCCGCGCGACCAAACCAGGGCCCATCACACACCGCCAGGCGCGACAGCGCGTCGTGGACACGCCCCTACTGTTGCCTGGTGCCGCGCCGCCGGGTTTACCAACCCACCGCTTGAACCGTGGCGGGACTCGATCCCGCCGTCGTTGTGCGGCCTTCCAGGCACGAGGGGCGAAGGCGGGGTCAGTGCAGGCAGCGTGGAGGGGCAGCAGGACAGGCGGAAGCCGCTAGAAGCCGCAAAAAAGAGGCGAAGGAGCACCCGAACGGCGCGGGTAAAAGTTAGCACTTGTTGGTCTCGATCCAACGACCTTTGGGTTATGAGCCCAACACGCTTCCTCTGCGCCAAAGTGCTAGCTCAATTTCACACATCCCCAACGACACACAAAAACGCGCCCCAGCAAACCACACACAAACCAACGCAAACGCCCGCGCGCGAGCTCTCCAGACCGACAATTGATGCCCCCAACGAGCTTATCGTTCACGAGATATCTCCCACCAAACCTAGGTACACGTACCCGCGGCACAACAAACTGCCACTGCGCACAGGCGCCTCGCCGCCGCGCGACCAAACCAGGGCCCATCACACACCGCCAGGCGCGACAGCGCGTCGTGGACACGCCCCTACTGTTGCCTGGTGCCGCGCCGCCGGGTTTACCAACCCACCGCTTGAACCGTGGCGGGACTCGATCCCGCCGTCGTTGTGCGGCCTGCCAGGCACGAGGGGCGAAGGCGGGGTCAGTGCAGGCAGCGTGGAGGGGCAGCAGGACAGGCGGAAGCTGCTAGAAGCCGCAAAAAAGAGGCGAAGGAGCACCCGAACGGCGCGGGTAAAAGTTAGCACTTGTTGGTCTCGATCCAACGACCTTTGGGTTATGAGCCCAACACGCTTCCTCTGCGCCAAAGTGCTAGCTCAATTTCACACATCCCCAACGACACACAAAAACGCGCCCCAGCAAACCACACACAAACCAACGCAAACGCCCGCGCGCGAGCTCTCCAGACCGACAATTGATGCCCCCAACGAGCTTATCGTTCACGAGATATCTCCCACCAAACCTAGGTACACGTACCCGCGGCACAACAAACTGCCACTGTGCACAGGCGCCTCGCCGCCGCGCGACCAAACCAGGGCCCATCACACACCGCCAGGCGCGACAGCGCGTCGTGGACACGCCCCTACTGTTGCCTGGTGCCGCGCCGCCGGGTTTACCAACCCACCGCTTGAACCGTGGCGGGACTCGATCCCGCCGTCGTTGTGCGGCCTGCCAGGCACGAGGGGCGAAGGCGGGGTCAGTGCAGGAAGCGTGGAGGGGCAGCAGGACAGGCGGAAGCCGCTAGAAGCCGCAAAAAAGAGGCGAAGGAGCACCCGAACGGCGCGGGTAAAAGTTAGCACTTGTTGGTCTCGATCCAACGACCTTTGGGTTATGAGCCCAACACGCTTCCTCTGCGCCAAAGTGCTAGCTCAATTTCACACATCCCCAACGACACACAAAAACGCGCCCCAGCAAACCACACACAAACCAACGCAAACGCCCGCGCGCGAGCTCTCCAGACCGACAATTGATGCCCCCAACGAGCTTATCGTTCACGAGATATCTCCCACCAAACCTAGGTACACGTACCCGCGGCACAACAAACTGCCACTGCGCACAGGCGCCTCGCCGCCGCGCGACCAAACCAGGGCCCATCACACACCGCCAGGCGCGACAGCGCGTCGTGGACACGCCCCTACTGTTGCCTGGTGCCGCGCCGCCGGGTTTACCAACCCACCGCTTGAACCGTGGCGGGACTCGATCCCGCCGTCGTTGTGCGGCCTGCCAGGCACGAGGGGCGAAGGCGGGGTCAGTGCAGGAAGCGTGGAGGGGCAGCAGGACAGGCGGAAGCCGCTAGAAGCCGCAAAAAAGAGGCGAAGGAGCACCCGAACGGCGCGGGTAAAAGTTAGCACTTGTTGGTCTCGATCCAACGACCTTTGGGTTATGAGCCCAACACGCTTCCTCTGCGCCAAAGTGCTAGCTCAATTTCACACATCCCCAACGACACACAAAAACGCGCCCCAGCAAACCACACACAAACCAACGCAAACGCCCGCGCGCGAGCTCTCCAGACCGACAATTGATGCCCCCAACGAGCTTATCGTTCACGAGATATCTCCCACCAAACCTAGGTACACGTACCCGCGGCACAACAAACTGCCACTGCGCACAGGCGCCTCGCCGCCGCGCGACCAAACCAGGGCCCATCACACACCGCCAGGCGCGACAGCGCGTCGTGGACACGCCCCTACTGTTGCCTGGTGCCGCGCCGCCGGGTTTACCAACCCACCGCTTGAACCGTGGCGGGACTCGATCCCGCCGTCGTTGTGCGGCCTGCCAGGCACGAGGGGCGAAGGCGGGGTCAGTGCAGGCAGCGTGGAGGGGCAGCAGGACAGGCGGAAGCTGCTAGAAGCCGCAACAAAGAGGCGAGGGAGCACCCGAACGGCGCGGGTAAAAGTTAGCACTTGTTGGTCTCGATCCAACGACCTTTGGGTTATGAGCCCAACACGCTTCCTCTGCGCCAAAGTGCTAGCTCAATTTCACACATCCCCAACGACACACAAAAACGCGCCCCAGCAAACCACACACAAACCAACGCAAACGCCCCCGCGCGACCTCTCCAGACCGACAATTGATGCCCCCAACGAGCTTATCGTTCACGAGATATCTCCCACCAAACCTAGGTACACGTACCCGCGGCACAACAAACTGCCACTGCGCACAGGCGCCTCGCCGCCGCGCGACCAAACCAGGGCCCATCACACACCGCCAGGCGCGACAGCGCGTCGTGGACACGCCCCTACTGTTGCCTGGTGCCGCGCCGCCGGGTTTACCAACCCACCGCTTGAACCGTGGCGGGACTCGATCCCGCCGTCGTTGTGCGGCCTGCCAGGCACGAGGGGCGAAGGCGGGGTCAGTGCAGGCAGCGTGGAGGGGCAGCAGGACAGGCGGAAGCTGCTAGAAGCCGCAACAAAGAGGCGAAGGAGCACCCGAACGGCGCGGGTAAAAGTTAGCACTTGTTGGTCTCGATCCAACGACCTTTGGGTTATGAGCCCAACACGCTTCCTCTGCGCCAAAGTGCTAGCTCAATTTCACACATCCCCAACGACACACAAAAACGCGCCCCAGCAAACCACACACAAACCAACGCAAACGCCCGCGCGCGAGCTCTCCAGACCGACAATTGATGCCCCCAACGAGCTTATCGTTCACGAGATATCTCCCACCAAACCTAGGTACACGTACCCGCGGCACAACAAACTGCCACTGCGCACAGGCGCCTCGCCGCCGCGCGACCAAACCAGGGCCCATCACACACCGCCAGGCGCGACAGCGCGTCGTGGACACGCCCCTACTGTTGCCTGGTGCCGCGCCGCCGGGTTTACCAACCCACCGCTTGAACCGTGGCGGGACTCGATCCCGCCGTCGTTGTGCGGCCTGCCAGGCACGAGGGGCGAAGGCGGGGTCAGTGCAGGCAGCGTGGAGGGGCAGCAGGACAGGCGGAAGCTGCTAGAAGCCGCAACAAAGAGGCGAAGGAGCACCCGAACGGCGCGGGTAAAAGTTAGCACTTGTTGGTCTCGATCCAACGACCTTTGGGTTATGAGCCCAACACGCTTCCTCTGCGCCAAAGTGCTAGCTCAATTTCACTCATCCCCAACGACACACAAAAACGCGCCCCAGCAAACCACACACAAACCAACGCAAACGCCCGCGCGCGAGCTCTCCAGACCGACAATTGATGCCCCCAACGAGCTTATCGTTCACGAGATATCTCCCACCAAACCTAGGTACACGTACCCGCGGCACAACAAACTGCCACTGCGCACAGGCGCCTCGCCGCCGCGCGACCAAACCAGGGCCCATCACACACCGCCAGGCGCGACAGCGCGTCGTGGACACGCCCCTACTGTTGCCTGGTGCCGCGCCGCCGGGTTTACCAACCCACCGCTTGAACCGTGGCGGGACTCGATCCCGCCGTCGTTGTGCGGCCTGCCAGGCACGAGGGGCGAAGGCGGGGTCAGTGCAGGCAGCGTGGAGGGGCAGCAGGACAGGCGGAAGCTGCTAGAAGCCGCAAAAAAGAGGCGAGGGAGCACCCGAACGGCGCGGGTAAAAGTTAGCACTTGTTGGTCTCGATCCAACGACCTTTGGGTTATGAGCCCAACACGCTTCCTCTGCGCCAAAGTGCTAGCTCAATTTCACACATCCCCAACGACACACAAAAACGCGCCCCAGCAAACCACACACAAACCAACGCAAACGCCCGCGCGCGAGCTCTCCAGACCGACAATTGATGCCCCCAACGAGCTTATCGTTCACGAGATATCTCCCACCAAACCTAGGTACACGTACCCGCGGCACAACAAACTGCCACTGCGCACAGGCGCCTCGCCGCCGCGCGACCAAACCAGGGCCCATCACACACCGCCAGGCGCGACAGCGCGTCGTGGACACGCCCCTACTGTTGCCTGGTGCCGCGCCGCCGGGTTTACCAACCCACCGCTTGAACCGTGGCGGGACTCGATCCCGCCGTCGTTGTGCGGCCTGCCAGGCACGAGGGGCGAAGGCGGGGTCAGTGCAGGCAGCGTGGAGGGGCAGCAGGACAGGCGGAAGCCGCTAGAAGCCGCAAAAAAGAGGCGAAGGAGCACCCGAACGGCGCGGGTAAAAGTTAGCACTTGTTGGTCTCGATCCAACGACCTTTGGGTTATGAGCCCAACACGCTTCCTCTGCGCCAAAGTGCTAGCTCAATTTCACACATCCCCAACGACACACAAAAACGCGCCCCAGCAAACCACACACAAACCAACGCAAACGCCCGCGCGCGAGCTCTCCAGACCGACAATTGATGCCCCCAACGAGCTTATCGTTCACGAGATATCTCCCACCAAACCTAGGTACACGTACCCGCGGCACAACAAACTGCCACTGCGCACAGGCGCCTCGCCGCCGCGCGACCAAACCAGGGCCCATCACACACCGCCAGGCGCGACAGCGCGTCGTGGACACGCCCCTACTGTTGCCTGGTGCCGCGCCGCCGGGTTTACCAACCCACCGCTTGAACCGTGGCGGGACTCGATCCCGCCGTCGTTGTGCGGCCTGCCAGGCACGAGGGGCGAAGGCGGGGTCAGTGCAGGCAGCGTGGAGGGGCAGCAGGACAGGCGGAAGCTGCTAGAAGCCGCAAAAAAGAGGCGAAGGAGCACCCGAACGGCGCGGGTAAAAGTTAGCACTTGTTGGTCTCGATCCAACGACCTTTGGGTTATGAGCCCAACACGCTTCCTCTGCGCCAAAGTGCTAGCTCAATTTCACACATCCCCAACGACACACAAAAACGCGCCCCAGCAAACCACACACAAACCAACGCAAACGCCCGCGCGCGAGCTCTCCAGACCGACAATTGATGCCCCCAACGAGCTTATCGTTCACGAGATATCTCCCACCAAACCTAGGTACACGTACCCGCGGCACAACAAACTGCCACTGCGCACAGGCGCCTCGCCGCCGCGCGACCAAACCAGGGCCCATCACACACCGCCAGGCGCGAC